ACCCCTTCTCTTAAGAGTGAAAACCCACTCTCTTACTCTAGATGGCATTACTCTGGGAACAACAGGTGGTGTGGAGTTTGAGGCAGCTGGATCCCACATGGCCTTGTGTGTGGTTCAAGTCCTGAACCTGGTGACTTGAAAATCACACCGGAAGTGTGTGCATGTATGCTCAAAATTGAGAGAAGAAGGAATTGTGGTGGTGGCATCCCTCCTGGGGGTGATATCTCACATTCTCTCTCTTTCTCCGAATAACATGAAGGAGGTCCTGCATCACCCATTACAGCCGGGCCCAGCCACCTCGGCCCCCTCTCTCTTTCTTTCTCTCTCTCTGGTGACCACACAAACCCCATAGTACACACTCACAAAAGAAAAATAGTGCTAACCCATTCATAAGAGCGATACTACCCTGATCCAAACATGGTCCATCAGGCCTTGCCTCTTACAGTTCTCACCACCCTGCATGTTACATTGGGGGCCATGTTCTAACACATGAGTGTTTGGGGAATGAACCATTATCCAAACCATAGCAGTAGACAATGGTGTTCTGGCTACGGTGGGAGATGGCCTGACTGAAAAGGTGTAGGCTCACATACTCAGAGATAATGGGTCATGGTGTCTGCAGCCTACTCCCTAGTGAGGACAGAGACAGTGGGTCATGGTGTCTGCAACCTACTTCCTAGTGAAGACAGAGACAGTGGATGCACAGAGAACAATAGACAAGAGGCAGTGTGGTCATGAAAGTGGCAGACCGAAAGGATAACCATCAACTAGGTTCCTGAGGCCTTTCCTTCCTTATTTCACTTGTTTTTTATTTATATTTTTTAAAGAATTGCTTTATGTAAAGTTTATTTATTTTAATTTGGCTAGAGAGGGACAGAGAGAGAGAAAGTGAGAAAGCAAGTCACCAGATCCAGGACTCAAATTGTGGTCTGCCATGTGGGAATCCAGCGCCTTTAACCACCATGGCACCTGCCGGCCCCTCAACTTGTTTTTTAAATAACGTAGTCAAATGTACTGATCTTATCCTTTACATTTTTTAAGGCCCTGTCACTAGTCTATGAGACGCCTCTTGTTGGCCATGAGTGGAACTGCAGGGCAGAACTTGGCTTCCCGCAGTTGATCCCCAATTTAGCAAGTGATGCTTCTCAGCCCAGGTATGAGTCTGAGGCCATCTTTCTACATAAAATATTTCCAGCCCCGAGACCTGGTGCTTCAGAGAGCCAGATCTCATGTGGTCAACTGTGGCAGGGGTATTTGGGTGCATTCCTCAAGTCCAGTAAGAATGAAGAAATAGAGAAGAAAGGATTGTGGTGTGACCCTGCCCCATTGGGGATGCTTTCTCCCTTTCTCATTGTGTCTCTCTGAAGAACACATGATCTCTCTGGTACAAATAAAATAATAAAATAAAATAAAAACAGCATCTAACATGCACAGCGCACTTCTACGTCCCAGGAACTGCTCTTAGCTTAACATAAATGTCTCTTCCATTGTCACAGTGATAGGTGTACACCAGGAATTTCTCTACTTTATTTTCGAAGAAACTGAGGTACAGAGACTAGGACCTGTTCCCAAAGACCCTCAAGTAATAAAAGAAAAGCGATTCCAACCCAAGAAGACTGCTCCAGGCGTGTTAAGTACAAAGCTATGCCACCTCTCGGGGTGCCTTCTCTATTTCTGACTTATTCACATGGACTGGTGAGTAGAAGCAGGGAGCGGACAATCACGGGGACCCTCGGAAGGAAGCCCCGGCCGTCGCACCATTTGTCACAGCATCCCGCCGTGCTGGCTGTGCACGCGTGCACAGGATCCTGGCGAGCTGGGGACCAGAGGAAGGATGCACGGTGTGCACAGGCCCCATGAATGGCCGTCTCACCTCTCCTTCACGTGTGTGCTCTCTGTCGTGAGCTCAACAATAGCCAACAAGGAAACCAAAACCCCAATATTTTCAAGCAAATGTAGCTTAAAGAGCTCATTGACTTATACACATATAAGAATGAGTGTTCTGGGCACAGCAGGCCAGCTGGTTTTTGTACGAGGGCACAGGAAAGCAGAATCATTTTAGAGTGGAGAACTCACTGAGCCCATCACAGGCATCACCATAGTCAATGGGAATGGGGGGAGGGAGCGCCTTCTCGCCTTCTCTCATCTCTTCCTCCTTCCCAGGCTAATCCTCCCTCTCCCACTCCTTCAAGATGTCTGATCAGAAGAGAGACTCTCTTTCTCAGCCTCGGCCTTTGCTTGCTTTGACCACTTGAACTTATTTATTTATTTATTTATTATTTATTAATATTTTTGTAATTTTGCCAGAGATTGCATGTGCTCACCAGAGAAAGTAAAAGAAAGAAAGAAGAAAGAAAGAAAGAAAAGAAGAAAGAAAGAAAGAAAGAGCATTGTGTTTTCTGCTGCTCCACTATTGGACACATCGATTCTCCTTCATGCCTATTGGTAATATGAACCATTTTTTCATTTTATACCGCTTTTTCTAATATAATATAATCCAATGATGAACAAGTCACCTAAACGCAGTTAAATGAATCTTCATAAACTGAACATGCCAGTTTCACCAGTCCCTAGGTCAAAAACAGAAAATAAGAGCCAGGTGGTGATTCGGGGGTAGTGACGCTTGGACTCACATGGGAAAGGCCCTGGGTTGGTGTTCCAGTACCTCCCAGAGCCTACCAGGTGTGCACCTGCAAGCCTGTGTTCCAGGCCAGCTGAGCCTGGGCGCACAGGGGCAAAGGCACTGACTGCCTGTTTCTTTCTCTCATGAGAGAAGTAAATAAATCAACTTAAACAACAAAGTGAACAGTGTGACCTGCACCGTAGAAACCCTGTGGCGCCCTCACCAGGCCCTACCCACCAGCCCTCTAGCACCATCGATTACGCTTGCCTGATTCAGGAACTGACATGAAGAAAGCATTCCAGGCCTCTGGAGTGTACCTTTTCTTTTCTTTTCTTTTCTTTTTCTTTTCTTTTCTTTTTTTTTACTTTCTTTCTTTCTTTCTTTTTTTTTTTTTTTGGAGAGGTTTTTGCCCTAGTGGGCCTTCTTTTTGCCATAGGGCGCATGCGCTCGCCAGAAAGACAGACAGAAACAGAGAGACAGAAAGCAAGAAATCACCCCCCAGGGGGGATGGCCACACCACAATCCCTTCTTCTCCATCCTCCTCTCAGGATCTTGGGCACGCATGCACATGCGCCCTGTGTGAGTTTAAGCCGCCAGTCCGGGACTCGAACCATGGTCGACTACATGGGAATCCAGCGACATAGCCATTAAGCTAACTGCTGGTCCCCAGAGTGTACCTTTTCTGTCTCCCCTGTCTGGGAGCCCCACAAACACTGCGTGAGGAGCAGCTGGGTTCAGCCTCGTGGCTCTGCCTTGCTTGTTCCTGTGTGGGAGAAAGCCAGAGAGAGTGTAGGTTTTACTTCTCCACGATGATCAATGATCAGCTCCTGTTTTACTTGGCATGGGAACGTGGGCATGGACCTTCTGGAACTGCCTGCCCTGCAACGTGAGTAGGTGAAGGGGGCATGTTCTGGGGCCCTTTTCTGACTCCCAAAGGGGCCTTGAATGCAGGAACATATCAATGGTGTAGGTAAAGCCATCCTGTTGGTTCATGTCTGTGTTTTGTGGCCATTTCATGGCTGCGACCTGTCCTCCCGCAGAGTCCCCCCGAACCTGGCTGTCCTCACTTCCTGGCAGCAGGGCTGCTGATTTCAGGCCCAGCCCTGGGGGCAGTTCTGCTGGTGCTCAAGTCCGGCCTTTCCAACATGAGCCCCTCTCCTTCTCCACAGAACTCCAGACCCAACTTCCCAGCGGATCTCTTTCAGACCTATAGGGACCACACGAGCCAAAGTAAGTCTATGTTTAACATGGCCTAAGAGACTAGCCCTTCGAGGTGGTTGCTTCCCTTTTGCTAACTGACCTTATTTTACTACATAATTTGTAGAAAAAGCCTAATCATAGCTTTACTGAGTTTCACAGAAGCTGGGTCTTGAAAGCCCAGCCAGAGAGCAGATGTGTCTAAGCAAATAAAGTGGAAATCGCTGATGGCCTTGAAGGCAAAGTGACCGTGTGCACAGCAGCTCTGGGGCCGACAAGCTCCATGTGGCTGTGACCCTCCTGGAGGGAGCCCCGGCTTTCCCACCTTCCTTATCTTCCCTCCGTGTGAAATCCCCTGTCCTGCTCTGTGACTTTGGAGATGGTCTTGGAGCATCAGTTCCCTGTCTCCCCAGGCCCCAGCTCCCTGAAGAAGCCCCCTTGCCCGTGCACCTACACGTGCCTCTCAGAGTCTGGCCCTGGAGGGCGGCAGCCAGGATGTTGCAGCTGCTCGGTGTAAAGTGAGAGGCCACTGCTTGCCTCCTGCAGTCCTGCCCTTCAGGCCCCCAGGTTCCTTGTGGGGTTCCCATGTCTGTTACTGGGCGTCTGTGAGCAGTTCCGTAGACAGTGGGAAATGCTCAAGCTCGAGGAACTTTTCACCCTTCTCTTAGTTATTAAGGTTTCTTTATTCACCATCTTGCTTTTTTATTCATTTTATCCCCCTGAGAGAGAAGCATCCCCATCAAGGTACTGGCACTGCATCCAGCACAGCTGCAGCTCCACCCAGCCCAGATCTGGGCACGCACATTTGTTGCTCACTCGGGGAGGTCCCCAAACACCCTCTGGGAACCCTCCTGTGTGCGTTGGACTCACAGAGCCCCGCATTTTATCCCTTTCAGTGTTGGCTGTTGGAAAGTTTCTCCTAAGCTGCTGACTGCTCCAGTCCCTGTTGGAGCGAGAGCTGCAGGTGTTCCCATCATCCTGGTGTCCTTCCCCCCACCCTGCTCCCTGCAGGATGGCAGCAGCGTGAGTGAGGGGCAGCCTCTGGGACATGGCTCCTCCCAGACTTAGTCTCTATTTCTGTCCTGGACATGACTCAGCAGTAACCCCATGAAATCCTCCCCTCCCCAACGCCCTCCCTCCCACTTCTGACACTTAGACAGGAGTCGAGCTGAGGGGAAAATGGGCTTTATTTCATTTTCCTTCTTTCTGAGGTTGGCTGAGGGGGAGCGAGGGGTGCACTCCAAAGGCGTCCGCAGTCCTGCAGGTCAGGGCTCGGAGAAGATGTCCTTGGTGTCACAGTCAGGGTCGAGGTGGCAGCCCTCTGCAAAGAGAAGTGCAAGTCAGGGGGCCATCCCTGCCGCGGTTCCCCACACTGCGCGGGTCACGCCCAGCTCACCGGGACTGCAGCAGAAGCCTGCGGCGGCACAGGTGGCCCTGTTCCCGCAGGGCTTTCCACCGGACTGGCAGGGCGTAGGCAGGTAGTCCTCCTTCTCGCAGCTCTGCGAATGGGTTGGGCCCAGGAAGCAGCCCAGTTCCTCATCGCAGCAGATTTTGGACCCGAAGCAGTGCCCTCGACCCCCTGGTCCGCAGGGGAGGCACTGGGAGGCAGGAAGGAGCAGGGTGAGCGGACAGGGAACGCAGAGTGGGTCCCGGGGCAGGATTGAGGGGACTACAGGTGCTGGGGCGCTGCGTTAGCCGCGACCAAGTTGGTGGAAGGAGGGGGCAGAATCCTAAAAGTCCTGAAATCTTGGGTTCCCAGGAAAGTCAGGGGCAGGCTGGGGAAGGGAGCGACCTTGTGGCTTCGGGTTCCCCTAAGATACGAGAGAGTTCACCTTGCGCACGTCGAGGTCCAGCAGGGCCCTCTTGCCACCTGGGGGGCAGTTCTGGATGTAGCAGGCTGAGGTCAGCGCCAGGAGCCCCAGCAGGCAGCAGGCGAGGCTGGAGCTGGCCATGGTGCTGACGCGCTGGATCTGGCTTGGCGACTGCGGCAGTCTCCCTGGCCAGCCTTTGTATGCCTGGACGCTGCCCTGGCCGAGCCCTGTCTAAGAGGGCGGCTGCATGCCTGGTCACAGCAGGTCGCTGCAGGTCAGCCCTTGGGCGCACTGTGCGCCCCCTCATTTGCATGGCCTGGGCCAGGGTCAAGGTCATCGCCTGGGTAATGGACTTGGCACAGACGGTGCTGTGGGGAAGGGAGCAGGCTGGGCTGGGTGGGTCACTAGGCAAGGCACGGAGATGTGGGAGCAGGAGCAGTCCAATCAAGAGCTATTTCTCTGCAGTCCCACTACATCTGGGTGGGGGTGGGGGAGGATGGACACTAGTTCCACCCCTTAAGCAGGAATAGACTCAGGTCAGCCTCCCAGTCCATCCTCTTGGCCTGACCGTCACACGTGCCTGTCCCCTTTGTTAGGAAGATCTCCTGTTCCTGAGTCCAAATTTCTAAATCATTCCCACCCCCAACACACAGCCGCACCACATCCCTGAGCTGGAACTTGGAAAAGAACCGATCACATCTTTCTCTAATCTCTAACTGAAATAAATTCAGCTCTCCTTTGGGTATGAGATATCAAAGAACCATAATGTCAGTGGCTTTGTCACAGATCGAAATGACAGGTATCCTCCTATCCCATTATAGGTATTGCAAATGTCTGTAAATATTCTTTAGATTTATCATTATTTCAAAATGATAGCAGTGATTGGGCCTGCTGGAAGACCTTGCTACCTAATGGCTAAATAAAGGACATTTATGGCAATATCAAAATGTTTTTTTAAAGCTTTAATACCTGAATATAAATATGAAGTGTCTTCAGTACATTCATGGCAATGTGCATCATGAAAAAATTACGCATGAATTTGAAAATGTACTTGCATTGGGACCAGCAGATGGGATGATGGTTATGTCGCCGGACTCCCGCCTAGTTGACTGTGGTTTGAGTCTTGGATCCAGTGGCTTAGAACTCATGCCGGTTGCGTGTGCGTGCGTGCCCAAGATCCTGAGAGGAGAATGGAGGAGAAGGGATTGCGGTGTGGCCATTCCCCCTGGAGGGCGATTTCTCTCTGTCTCACTGGCAAGCACATGCGCCATATAGCAAAAATCTCTCTCTAAAAAAAAGAAAAGAGAAAATACACTTGCATCAAAACAAACTTGTAATTTAATTCTTTTCCACAAAGTATTTGAAGTCCACTCGTATAATTAGTTTCTTTACTAATCCTACATCTTTTGTTTTAGTAACTAAGAACTGTTTTTGGCTCTAATTTCTAAAAGTTTTAGTATATCTCAAAATAAAAGTAATTTAAAACTTCAGAAAAGACAGACTGTCTGTTTGGAGGAGGGTTGGTTAATATTAATGTTATGAACAAGGAAGGAGAGGCCCTGCCCAGATCCCCCATAGACAGGATTCACTAGGCAGCTGGGGACACAGGGTAAAATGTGGTCCTCTATGAGGCTGGCTCTCCAGGGAAGGTTCCAGGTTCCCATCTGGAGACCTCCCTGAGTACACTGGATGGCTCCAGAGCTCCCTGGGGACAGCTGAGGTCCAC